TGGCAGGCACATATCATATACCCAGCGCTGAGCTAGGGCTTTCCTGGATGGTAACATACTATATAGAGAAAGTCAAGTTGAATAAAATGTAATCAGAAATTTTAATAGTATGTATCTTTCTAAACTTGAAGTAGGTGATTTTTAGAGTTGGATCAATATAACAAAAGAAGAGATATTACTATTCAATCAATGCCACTTTTCTCTTTAATCTTTAATTAAGAGTAAATTATGGAGAAAAAATGTTAATGTAATAGATCACTATTGGATGATCTACTCAGAAACCTTTTTTTAAAAAGTATTTTAAATGTGAATCACAATGTAATACACAATTGCTGTGGACACACATATAATAAAGAAACATCTGAAATACAATTAATAGTGTATTTTAATACACTATTAAAATTCCATTCCTTTAAATTTGACAAGTTATTGCCAACTTTTTATATTTTTCCCCTGTGTATCAAAACACACACATATCTGTACACACTTGCAGGGAATTAACATGGAATCACACAACACAAATTAGTCTGCCTCTTGCTCTTCTTCCCTTTGCCACATATTGCTTATACTACCTTTCTAAGATTTGCCCTTTTCCCATGCCTGGACCCAATGTTCTACCCACCTTGTTGATGGGAAATCAGTCATATGTGGGCAGCATAATTCTGCTTCTACAGCGAAGTTGACTGGTTCAGGATTGGGCATCTGAACCCAGACGGCCACAGTGCATCCCTTCTCTGGGATTTGGGGACATCTCCAGGTAGATGGCTTTGTTATATGTGAAATCTGGAATTATAAGCTGCCATTTTTAAATTCTGCCATTTCTGCCTCGGAGAAAGGGAGATTTCAGTGAGCCAAAGAATAATGAAGATGTGCCCAGGAGCGGGAAAGAGAAAGTGGGACAGAGAGAGAGAGAGGGAGGATGGGGGACAGAGAGAGAGGAGAGAAAGAGAGACAGAGAGCGAGGAGGGGGGAAATATTTTAGGTTCTCTCTAAGGTTTTACTACAATCTCAAGGTTCAACTCAACATATTTCAAGATGTGGCCCTTTCCTTTCCACAAAACCTTTTCTCACTGGGCTTCCATTCTTAGTAACTAAGACAGACTTAAAATGGTAAGCCCTCAACATTTCTGAAATAATTTTACTTTTCCTATCATACTTATATTGTAGTGATTAAATATTATATTGTTTCCCCTGTCAGAAATAAACCAATGATGTTACTTTGTACAGTAAACTTTATGCATACCTACTCTGTGCTAAATTCTGTGCTCCCAAAGCGTGAATAGTCTATGGGAAATACAACAAATAAATCAACTAAAAACATTATGATAAGTATAATGACAGGAACATGCTCACTGTATCATGGGATGCCAGAAAGGGGCATCAAAATATGTCAGTAGCCATGACATATTTTTGTGCCACGAGACTTTTTGTCTCACTGCTCACTGATGTCTTAGACATGTACCTTATTTGCCAATGTGGTAAGTGGAATAAACTATCTAGAGAAACTGTCCTGAAGAATTTTTAAATTCTAAAACCAATTGAAAAGTATGTTTTTTAACAGTATTCATCTATTTTTTCCCCCACAATACCATCCTCATACAAAACAACTCTGTCATTTGACTATCTCCAGAAGGAGCTATGAAGATTTACTCAACATGGCTCTGGAGCTTTCCAGACTACATAAGTTCTCACATAGTGGTTATTCACAGAGACTTTTTCTTCTTAAGCTACTTACTCTCCCTCAAAAAAGATCATTTGCTTAGGCTGGTAACTATTGTTATAAAGAGCAAAGTGTAATTAAGCAACTCAGTGGATCTTTGTCTGGGCATGATGCAAGCCTCACCTCTCTCTCTCTCTCTCTCTCTCTCTCTCTCTCTCTCTCTTTTTCTCTCTCTCTCTCTCTCCATTTTCCACCTTCTGCACAACTGACCTGCGGCTGTCTTGGCTACATGATGCATGGAGTCTGGTTTCATTCAACCATAGTGAGGCCCTTGGAGTTGAATACCTTGTGTGTGTCTGTCTTCGCCTTCTCAGAAACATTTTTCTTCACAATCAGAAAATAGCTCATAGATCCTTACTGTCTTGGGCTTGCTTGAAACTTCATTTCTCTAAAGGATAGTTGGACAAGCAGTCATTGAATTTACTGACCTCAGAAGTATTGCTTTCCTATGCAAGGATAGTTTAGATTCTAATTTACTTTAAAGTTAAGCCTGGCTGCAGAGAACTGAAATGCATTTCTACCTCATCTCTAAAGGTCTAGCAGAAAAAAAATCCTAGGCATCAAATACAATATGAGAATCTCAGAAAAGGAAAATATTTAGGTCACAGCTAGGTCTTCTAATAGTGTATTTTCAATTGGAAAAATACGAGAAAAAGAAAAAGAAAAAAGAAACAGATTTGTGCTGTGGTTGGAGAGAAACTTAAACTTGATCTTGTTTGTTTTCTCCCGAGGTTGCTGGGGCTGGAGTAGGGGGTGAGGAGCAGGTGATGCCTCCTTTCCCAAAATGTTGGAAAAGCATTTCCTACAGGCAGGAGATTGGATTTGTTAGTCTTTTGGCAAGAGATCCGTGGCCTTTTGTGGTATGGTTTCTGGGACAATGTTCTAATGAGGATTCTGGATGACAGGGAGCAGTTATGTTACTAAAACTAGCTCAAGGGAATTGAGTTTTTATTTCAAAGATATAGGAGGATGCCAAGAAACACAAGGTTAGGAGAAAATGTTTCTAGACCTCTTGTGAGTAAGAGTTCAGAACTGGCAATTGATTCACTGTTCACTCCCTCTACCTCTCAGAAGTGCTGATGCCCCAGAATTGGCTTCTTTCTACAAGTGTGGTCAGTCCTCTGGTTTAATCCAATACGTCTTATACTTCAGCTTGCAGGTAACTCCTAGGTGCCCATGTCAGTCTGGGAAACTAAAAACCTTGTCTCTGCAGCATCTAGTGCTTACTGAAAACTATCTCGATGTCTCATTAAGATTGCAGAGAGAAAATCAGGCAGCCCCAAGTTATCTGGCCAAGTTGGGCCATATAAATCTTGGACATCTGGTAGCAAATACATTGATGGTCCTAGAATCCAGGGACAATCCGTGTTTAATCAACTGTTGTGAGAAAAAGAGTCAGGACCTTCTGATTCACAACATCAGATAACTTCTTTTAGCAGGGGTCCACAGAAAATGCTGTGTTCCTCATCTTCAGAACACTTTGAATAACAGAACATCCTTTAGTAAGGAACCAGGACTGAGTCTCCCCAATTACTGAGGAGACTTCGAATTTAAATTTTACTGACAGAGACTCATTTAAAGCAGTTTATACCATAATGTGAATGATAATTACCTTCTATCGGGAAGCATTCAGTTATTTCTCAATCAATTACTGAGTCTTTACTTGATCACTATGCTAGATTTGGGGACTAAAAATGAATACTTTTGGTGAGAGAAGGAAAAAGTTTCTTTAAATCTCAGTTCTTGCTGGCAGGAAATGCCGGGAGAAGAAAAGGATGTAGAGAGAATATATTGGAATTGGCGAAGAAGATAGTTTATTTCCTATTTAACATTTCAGCAGAGGTTTTTGTTTGTTTTTTGTTTTTTTTGTTTTGTTTTGTTTTGTTTTGGTTTTTTTGGTCAAACTTCTCCCAGCCTGAAATTAAACAACGGAAGTCCTAGTTATTGAACAGCTGTCCCAGACAAGGAAGGCAGATTGCTTACTTCTACAGGAAGCAAAAGGACCTAAATTCAACTCAGCACCCGCCCTCAGAAGACAGCATCGAATGAGAAGAAATTGCTGCTGCGATCCAGGCAGACATCCTTGAAAGCTAGAAGGGAGTACAAAGTGCACAGACTGATCAGGTGAAGATTGTGCTGGGCTTAGGGTGGGGTACCAAGGCTGGGTAAATGGTGGTCATCTTTAGAAGGCACCAACTGGCCTTGTTTGGTTGTAGCTTAGATAGGTGACATCCCACATTGTAACAAATAGCATGGCACTAGCACCTGCCAGTCAGAACTGATACTGGCCTGTAGTCCCAGCTACTGGGAAGGCTGAGGTAGTAGAATTGCTTGAGCCCAGTAGTTTGAATCCAACCTGGGCAATATACGGAGACCACACCCTACCACAAATAAAATAATAAAGTCAAAAGACCTGATAATGTCCCCACTGGAGCAGCATCTGAAGGTCCCTATGGCACCAAGTATCAACACTTTAGTTGAGAGATTATAGGGAGGTGAAGGTCAGGGGATTCCTATTAGGGTCTCCAATTTTAACAGCTGGAGCTGGTGCTTATAGCTCAATACCTGGCCCTTCTGAAGGAAGGGAAAATGGCTGGAGACAAGGTCCAGCTTGTGTTGTGGAGGGCTGGAATGCCATGCTCATGAGCTCATGGGGGTACCCTTCACTTAGGAAGGAATGGGAGCTATCCATCCCAATGACCTCTCTCAACAAACATCCCTTCCATTCATAACTAGCCAATGCAATTTTAGGAGTTCCGAATGCCTAGAGGGGATACTGTTTTGATTAACGATATACCATACGGTGTCTGCCCTCTGGCAGCTGAAAGTCTAGAAGGAATTGGGGAAGGAGCGCCGTGACCCCAAAGCATCACAGGACTGGAAAGCTGGCGGGGTGAGAGTGGGGAGGACCTCAGTTAATGCCGCCCTACCCCCTCATAGAGGATTAGTGACTCGGCCAAGTTCACGCAGCTGGGCCCAGCCAGAAACAAACCCCCCTTCCCCGTGGTGGCTGTGGAAGAGGAAGGGAACTCTTGCAAATCAGAGGCCAAGGTGGCAATGGAGTGGCACAGGGGTGAGCGACGCATCCGAAGGGGAGAAAAACGTAATCCCAGGAACAGGGTTGTCTTTATTATTATTATTATTATTGCTGTTAGCACGGGTTCGGAGGACTTTTTCTTGCTGAGTTAACTCCCTCCCTCACTCATTTTTTTGGCCTTGCCTGGGGAGGATTCGCGGTGTGGGGGAAGGCGCACCCCTGCGGCTTCTGAGGCTCATCTTCCCGGAGCGGAAGGAAGGAATCAGGCGCCTCCTCGCAGACGCCCCCAGGGGCTCCCGTCCGCCCTGAGGCTCCCCTGAGTTCGCCAGGCCCCAGGGCTCTGTGGGGCGGGCTCCCGGCCAGGCGCGGTCGGGACGCCCGCGGGTCTCCAGGTTCCGGGCAGCGCGCAGCGCGGGTTCGCGGCGGCTCATCCATCTTCGCGACCCGGCCTGGCAGCGCCGCGCTCCGCTCGGAGGACACTCGGTTGCAGAGTCCCGCGGGGGGAGGGACGAGGGGACCCTCAGCCCCGTCCTCGGACCCAGATTGAGCAGGGGAGAGTGGGAGCTGAGCTGGGGCCGGCGCAGGGCCCGGGGCTCCTCTCTGGGCACAAACCCTTTAGGACACGCTCTCTCAGGGGCTGAGTGGCCTCGAGCCTTGCCAATCAGCAGTTCCGTGCACCCCGCTTGCTCTGGGGTGCGTCAAATGTCAGCAGAGAGCTGCTCAGATGGGGTCACCAGACGCCTTCTCCTCCCTTTCCTGGAGCCCGCGGGTTGCGCAATAAACCAACCCCAGCCGGACGCTGCGCTCCTATAAATAGAGCGCGTGTGCCCGCTTCGCGTTCTCCGGGCTGCGCGAGGAACGAGAAAGTTGTGCGCAGGGACCGGGGGAGGGAGGCTGGGCAGGAGAGAACCCCGCCGGACCAGCCGCCCTGCACGCTGCGCCCTGCGCCCTGGAACTGATCCCGCGAACCTGCGCTTTCGGAGCCCGGGACCCGGCTAGCTGCTGCCTACCTCCCTACCTCTGGGTGACACCAGGTTTGAGGGAATTTTGGACCAAGCAAAAGTGGGAGTCACTGGCATCCTGGCCATGAACACAGCCTCGCGTTCTTCTCAGCCTGGGAAACACCTTCTGCCTCCGTAACTCGTCCCTGCCGCAAGCCAGACAGGACTGGCACCCGCTCCGCTGGGCACCTGCCACGCTTGTGGCTTCCCTTTGAGTCCCTTTTTCTGTTCCTGCTCCGTGGTTTACCTGGTGGTGCTTGAGTTTGGGGTGATAATTTATTATTATTATTATTTGCTTTGAGGTGTGAATGTGAGGCTTTGGTGACTTTTCGATGTCTAGGAACAAGGGTGGGCACAAGGGCCCTAGGCAGGGCTGATTCTTGGGCAGAGGAGGGTAGGATCAGGGGTTCTGCATGAGCTCCTTAAAGGACAAAGGTAACAGAGCCAGCGAGAGAGCTCGAGGGGAGGCTCTGACTTCAAGCCACAGAATTGGTGGAAGTGTGCGCGCCGCCGGCGTCGTTCCTGCAGCGCTGTCGACCTAGCCGCTGGCATCTCCCCGAGCACCGGGATCCCGGGGTAGGAGGCGACGCGGGCGAGCACCAGCGCCAGCCGGCTGCGGCTGCCCACGCGGCTCACCATGGGCTCCGGGCGCCGGGCGCTGTCCGCGGTGCCGGCCGTGCTGCTAGTCCTCACGCTGCCGGGATTGCCCGTCTGGGCGCAGAACGACACGGAGCCCATCGTGCTGGAGGGCAAGTGTCTGGTGGTGTGCGACTCGAACCCGGCCACAGACTCCAAGGGCTCCTCTTCCTCCCCGCTGGGGATATCGGTCCGGGCGGCCAACTCCAAGGTCGCCTTCTCGGCGGTGCGGAGCACCAACCACGAGCCATCCGAGATGAGCAACAAGACGCGCATCATTTACTTCGATCAGGTCAGACCCGGGGAGTCGCGGGCACTGAGGGGGCGGGCGGTCTCCAGGCACCTCAGCCCGAGGCTGCCTTCCCAGGCTAAACTGGTCCAATTGGGAAGTGGGGAATTCTGCAAGCATTCGCCTTCCCAAATACGCCTGGGTCTGAAACGTCTAACGTCTCTCTTCCTGCCCCTCTCACCAGCCCCGGCTCCCATTCCTTCCGGGCCCCTAAAAGAGCCTGCAGCGGCGGCGAGGGAGAGGTTGGGAGCCCAGAGGCGGGCAGCGGGAGCTCAGGGCAAGTTTGGAGCAACAGGTCGGCGGGAGCCGAAGGGAAGCTGGTCCCTGGACATCGAGACCTCTTGGCCAGATCTCGGTTCCCTGGCTCAGACTCTTCTACAGGTGCCGCTGAGGCTGCTCCCAGGGTACCTTTGTGGAACAGGTTAAATGTTTGATTTGTTTCTCCCAGGTAGAGAAGTTTCTCTCCAAAGAGAGCCCCGGGCCTCCACACTCTCTGCAGAGATCCGGCAGGTGGTCGCGGAGAGCGGGGGCAGGGCCAGGGGTCAGATCTTGCCCGCAGGTTCCGCTGCCAGCGACTCTATACGCGTGCCAGGCGCCGCTGCCACTGCCGCTGCCTCGGAGTAGGCAGCAAGCCCTTCTCTGGTACTTACAGAAAAGTTGCGGAGGAGGGAAGGAAAAGCAATTTGGCAACTGCGCCGAGCTCCCGTAGGGAAGAGCCTGAGAGCTGATTCTCCCTTTCCGGACTCCTGTCCTTTCAGAGAATTGCCAATAGCTGGGGAAAGACAGACTTTGAGGTTGAGGGCAGGGGAAGAACTGACGGAAGCTGTAGCTCCTTTGTAGCGACCTGGTGCTCTGTGTTTGGCATGAGGAGAAACCCCAGGATACCAGCTTACCTTTAGCAAGGGGTCTTAACGAAGAAAACTGTCTTGGGAGTTTTAATTTCATCCCCAGCAGTATCCAGAGTCTTTTTAATTCCAAGTTCACAGTTGTATGCAAAGCTACAATGTGCAGGGGGCACAGGTTAAGTGATGTTACAGCATGTGCCAGGGAAAGCATGAGGCGACATCTGTATTCCTTGCTTAATTTTTCCTAAGTAATGCACTCTCCAGCTGGCCAAAGACAGAAAATGCCTCTCTAGGGGCTAGGTATTTGATAGCCATAATTTTTAAAGAATTAAGTAGCCCCATTTGGGGTTTTGGTGCAATATTTTCCATCTCGATGGAAATAAAGTCTAGCACCACCCCTACTTTGTATTTCAACACATTAATTAAACGTTGGAATACTGTGGGCATTGCACTATCCTCTATACAGGGTGCTCTTTTCAATGACCTTTCCATCAATTAGAAGAGGAAAAGGGTTTGTTCTTCTATTCACTGAGCCCTGCATCTTAGAGAGCAGAAGACACGTTTAGTTATAAATCGTGATGTACCTGGATGCTCCAATTACAATGTAGAGTCAACATCCAGTTTTATGTGTAGCCAACACTAATCAGCCATTTTCATTATTGCTAATGAATTATGCTACTTGTTTCTGAATCAGGAAGTCACTACTAAGCACCTCAAATTATTTTAATTGTGCTTGAAAAAATGTCTTTGTAAAGCCTCTGTTGGGGATTGTTGCACAGCTGGTGACTTGTTGAAAGACCATCTATCATCAGGTTACAAAGAAAATCTGATGCTCACTTGGAAGAAGGTGAAATCTCAGACTGAAATTCCACACCTACATGTGTTTTAAGTTAAGTGTTGAGCCTGATGTATCTGCTTGACTGTCACTACATTCTGGTATGTTGCCCAGAGGTAATAGTACGTTTTAAGGGAATTATGCAAGAGCCTTGCAAGTGTGTTAATATTGGCAAGAATGCAGTGTTTGAAAGAGATAGTAGCAGACTGCCATTGAATTATGAGAAGCATATCTTGTTAGGGACTGCTTATTATTTTTGAATGCCACTTATAGGCATATTTCTTCGAAAGAAATGGCAGAAACCCTAGTTATTTTAACATCCATCCCCCATCCCAGTCTCTCTTTTTCATAGAAAGAGATTTACCCATGTGACATTGCAAATTTAGCTTAAGAGGTCACTTATTAAAATTTAGAGTTAATTTTATAATGAGTAGAACCAGGCTGAATATTTTGGAATACAAAATGCATCGTTGCTTTCTTGGGAAACAGTTTCTAATTTCACTTTTGAACATTGAACTTCAAATAAAGAGCAAGTGATTGATAGGAGGTTAATGGGCAGCCCTGGGAGGAACAGGGAAAGCCATCTATTTCATAGTTTATCCTTCCTTTTGCTCTCCTCTTTGGCAGCCCCCAAGGGCTGACTCACTACCACATTATTATAATTAAAGCCTAGCTGGCACAGGAATGAAAAAAACAATGGCCACAGATCTTAGGAGAGGGCTGGTGGTGGCTCAGAGAAGGGCCAGGCATTCAGATCACTCTGTGTACCAACTGTTCAGTGTCAAGGATTATGTCACACGGTGGAGGGGGTACCCATATCTCTGTGGTGTGTCCAGGGATGCTGCAGAGAGCTCACAAATGCTGATTGGCTGGCTTGGAAACGTCATCTCTGGACATTGCAATGGCTTGTAGAAGGTGGGAAGGTAAACACATGGCAGATGCCTTTTATCCGACTCTCAAGGTAAAGCTAATATTTATAAGCCCTCAAATGTTAGCTGGATGTTTCCAGAGCCATTGGGCCTTGCTGGAAATTGAGACACGAATACAAAGTAGTTACTTTATTTATTCTTATATCATTTAAAAGACAGAAGAACCTTTCAATATACAAGTCAATTTTCCAAATCAGTTAAGAGGAAAGAAATAGAACTAGATGCTTTATCTTCTATGATTTGTTAAGCTAGTTGCCAAGAATGAACGAACAAAAGAAAGAAAGAAAAAAAAAGAGGAAGGAAGGAATGAAGGGAGGAAGGAAAGAAGAGGAGAGGAAGAGAGAGAGAGAGAAAGAAAATTTACGTTAGTTGCAGAAGAAAATATTATAATAACTTATTGTTACTTATTATTTTTATTTATAGATCCTGGTGAATGTGGGTAATTTTTTCACATTGGAGTCTGTCTTTGTAGCACCAAGAAAAGGAATTTACAGTTTCAGTTTTCACGTGATTAAAGTCTACCAGAGCCAAACTATTCAGGTGTGTGTAACCCCTTCCATCCATACTCCCAACCAACTGTGCTTATCTGGAGTGGGTTATGTGTTTAGTTATTTATCCAAAGTTGTGTTTCCACAAGAGAAATAAACAGCTATCTTTGTCATTTATTTTAGAACACTTAATTTCTAGTTTTCTTCTTTTTAACACCCATTGAGACGTGACAAAAAGCATATAGAAAAATAAACAGTTGAAGTTATTACCTTAATAACAATAAAATATTTTAAAAAATCTGTGGTTTAATAAAAATTCAATGACACAAATCTATTTGCAAGATCATGCTTTCATTTACTGCATGTACAAAAATTATTTGAACTCACAGAAAAAAGCTTGTAGGACTAGTAGAGCTTTACAAGTGCATACTAAATAAAGAAAACAATCTTGCTATTTTTTTTTAAATTATGAGATACAGCTAACCAGTAAGAATAAGTCTATGAAGGAGCAACTATGCAACATACTTTTTAAAAAAGGTTGTTTTATGTGTATGCTTGAGTTTATCCTCAGTTACTCTGATGCTAGTGAATTCTTACCAACTGTAATTCCAGTGTTAACAATATATTTTGTGTTCTGCTTTCTAAGACAATGGGCTTGACCTTATGCTCAAAGGCAACTGTGGAGTAGTTCCTACAATATTCCAGTATGCTGATACCAAATGACACAAATACATGTGTATGGAATTCTGGGATAACCTTTTATCTTTTGCTCAGTATTTATATTATACATTATGTCAATGTGAATGATAGATTACACATTTATCTATTAGTATTTTCACATGTCCTACTGAATAGCTAATAGATCAGCCTCATAACTAATTTATTCCATGTAACTTTTAACCTAAAAAAATGTAGAAAACAAACTTACTTCCATGGAAAAGCTTTTGCCAACTTCCAATATTTAGAAATGTATGCAATGCTTAAAATAGTATAATCAAAATTGTAGTATAGAAAATAGTTAATACAATTTTGAGTTGATTCTAATTATCTATCACTGAAATCTCCAGTAGTAGTGCTGATTGTTATTTTTTTATTTTTATTTTTTTTTTCTCTGAGATAGGGTCTTGCTCTTTCACCAAAGCTGGAATGCAGTGGCACAACCATAGATCACTGCAACCTCAAACCCCTGGGTTCAAGCCATCCTCTTGCTTCAGCCTTTTGAGAAGCTAGGACTACAGGTGCATGTGACCAATCAGGCTAATTTTTAAATTTGTTGTTTTGTTTGTTTTAGAGATAGGGTCTGGCTATGTTGCCCAGGCTGGTCTTGAACTCCTAGCTTCAAGTGCTCCTCCTGCCTCTGTCTCCCAAAGGGTTGTAATTACAGGCATGGGTCACTATGCCTGGCTTGATGATTAATTTTTAATACTTGTTTCCTATCAGGGAAGACAGAAAAAGAAATAAACACACACACAGACACACATACATACACACTTCATTATTTCAAATGATTTTCAGTAATATGCATGTTGCAGCTGCACAAAAACCTGCAACGATGTTGGTAGGGTTGGATTGTGTCTGGGTTTCTCAGGTCAGTGGGCACAGGGTCTCTTTTATGAATGCACTGAGATGCCTCAAGCCTGCTTTATTTCCAAAAGATTATTGTTGGGTAGAAGAGGTAAGTAAAGCAGTAAGCTTAATTTATGTGCTGAAGGGAAGCTCGTTTTTGCATGGCTAGGTTGCTCCCCACAGATGTTATTCTTTTGTAGGAATTTAAGGATATTCCAATGAGGAAAAAAAATTAAAAAATCAGTTCAGCAGACATAAAAAGTATGGCCCCCACAATTGGCTAATTTGAAAGGAAAGGAATATATTTCCTGAATATCAGGTATTTTACTGGGTCTGTCATCTAAGACATTATTTATTCTCCCCGGTAGATGTTTTGGCTTTTAAAGAGAACTTTTCAGTTATTATTATTTATCTTCTTCTAGGTTAACCTGATGTTAAATGGAAAACCAGTAATATCTGCCTTTGCGGGGGACAAAGATGTTACTCGTGAAGCTGCCACTAATGGAGTCCTACTCTACCTAGATAAAGAGGATAAGGTTTACCTAAAACTGGAGAAAGGTAATTTGGTTGGAGGCTGGCAGTATTCCACATTTTCTGGCTTTTTGGTGTTCCCCCTATAGGATTCAATTTCTCCATGATGTCTATCCAGGTGAGGGATGACCCACTCCTGAGTTATTGGAAGATCATTTTTTCAACATTGGATTGATGTCTTTTATTGGTTTCTCATGGGTGGATATGGATTCTAAGGATTCTAGGCCTGTCTGAACCAATACAAAGTTTCACAGATTATTTGTGTGTGTGTGTTTCAGCATATTTGGATTGGGACTCTAAGCAGATAATACCTATGCTTAAATGTAACAGTCAAAAGCTGTCTGCAAGATTTATTCTGAATTTAATTTCCTGGGATTACTGAATTTGTTACAGATGTGGAATTTCATTTGTTTAGTTTCGAAGGACTGGCAACTGGGTCTAAGCATTAGAAAAGTCTAAAGTTCTGACTTCGATCAACAGTTAGTGTGATACTGCCAAAGAACTGTATACTGTGTTAATATATTGAGGATATTTGTTTTTATTCCTTTGGAATTAGTTTGTTTGGTTCTCGTAAAAAACTGGGACTTTTTTTTTTCAGTAACTGGCATTGTGTTTTCTCTAAAAAGAAGGTAATGAATGGCTTGCCCACAAATTTACCTTGACTATGATATCATCAACATGACTTCTCTCAAAAAAAGAATGCTTCATAGTTGTATTTTAATTATATATGTGAAAGAGTCATATTTTCCAAATTATATTTTCTAATAGGAAAAATAGATCATAAATCTGAAAAGGAAAAAGTTGCTTACCCGAAATCTAAGTGTTCAATCCCCAAGCCTCGGCAAAACAGCCCTGCTCCGAGGGAAACCTTATACTTTATTGCTCAACTGTAATTAACATGATTAATAATAACCACTTTATTAAAAACCTAAGGTTTTTTTTTTCTTTAGACATGACCACTTTGTTAACTGGTGGTGGGATGCTGTTATTTCTAATTATACCTATTTTTCAAGCCTTCCGTTGTATTTGAAGTATCATCTGGTTTTGCCTTAACTCTTTAAATTGTATATATTTATCTGTTTAGCTAATATTAAATTCAAATATTCCATATCTAAACTTAGTGCAATATCTTATTTTGTCTTTTGTATAGGTCATATGAATTCATAAAATTATTTATGTCTGTTATAGAATAAAGATTAATATATGTTAGTTGAATTGTTTTTTTCTTTCTGTTTTGGAAATATGTATTCTACGTTATTTATTTCCTCTGACTTTGTCTCTTCCTAACCCTTTCTTCCTTCTTCATTCCTTTTTTCTTTCTTTCTCCCTTCTTCCCTTCTGTCATCCTTTCATCCTCTCATTTCTTTTTTCCTGAAGTTTAAGAAAAGCTTTCTGAATTTTTAGGTAATGTCCTCTGAGCTGATATAGGAAATCTTTACTGTGTTTAATTTGTCCAAATGTAGGAATTGCAAGCTTGCCAAAGGAGAATCAATGAACTTAGTAAACTCTTCTTTCAGAAGGGCTGATTGTTTAAAAGTTAAGTTTAAAAGATCCCCTAAAATATTCATACATCTGCTCAGTGTATGAATGAGTGGTGATGAGTTTAAAGACCAATATTTTCATACTGAAGACTTTGAGGAAAAGTTCTGCCCTTTTTTCAACACTAAAAGACAAACAGAAAACCACAGGCCTCTTCTTAGGAGGAATTACTATTACACCTGCCTTGTTTGGAGATTTGGCTCAATTTCCTGGTCTTTAGTCCATAAAAACAATTTTTGGCGGGGTGGTATGGGGGGCTTTTATACCTAGTGGCAACAAGCAAGGTGTTACAGGAGACACATACAGGCATGTCTTCCAGTATAATTGTGTTAATTGCCAAGTCAAGCTATTTATGCATCACCAGGAAGCCTCTCCTCTTTCCCTGAAAAGAATTATCTGGAGATGCTGGCAACGGATGCTCAATGTTTTACTTGGCAAGTTGTCTTCTGCTGGCTTCGTGTCAAAAATCTTTCCTCCTTTGTGATTTTATAATGTAAAAAAAAAAAAAGGTACTGTGCAGAGAGAACAAATAAAAGGGGCATTTTCTAAATATGAGTGGAATTCTCTTTAAATGTACCTGCTCTAACATAGACTTCCACCTGGTTCTTTGTGTGCAGAATTTGTATGTATGCATTGCAACAGGTGAATCCTACTTGAATAAAGACAGTTGGCCTTCCATTTCCGCAGGTTCTGTATCTGAGATTCAACCAACTGAATATAAAAAATTTGGAAAAACTAAATAACAACAGTATAACAGTAAAAATAGCACAAATAAAAACCAACATAGTAGAACAACCGTTTACACAGCAGTACATTGTATTAGGCATTATAAGTAATCTAGAGATGATTTAAAGTATAATTTGTGTAGATTATATGCACATAATACTATGCCATTTTATATAAGGGACTTGAACATCTGCAGATTTTGGTTCTGGAACTAATTCCCCGTAAGTACCAAGGGATGACTATAGACTCTCAGTCATTGTTTTGGCAAAATGGCCCAAAAGTATTGGAATTACCAATAGGCCCCTATGATGAGACAGAGAAAGTTAGGTGATTATCAAAAGAGACCAATATAGAAATGTGTTTTATAAACACGATTGTGGCCATCCTTTGGGGCTTGCCCTTTTTAAATTGGCCTTTTCTGATCATAAAAGAAAATTGGCAAAGGGCTTGACTCTAATTCCTAAGCTCTAGTCACATATTTTTAAGCACAAAATGCATTTGAAACTTTCAAGAGAACTCCATTTGAAAAGGCACTGGGGCTGTGGTTTTAAAATGTGGAAGGAAACCTGCCTTAGTGTATCCCAGGTGGAGAGATGAAGTCAGGATGAGAGTCTGAGATACACACCTACGCTGGTTCTAGAAAATGGGAGCCCCCACTGCACGCAGTGGCTGGAAAAGATAAGATTGAGGAAGAGAACAGAAGCCACAGGGCGCAGAATGGTTTGTCCAGGAAGCATGGATTTTGCACAGACATAGGATGGAAACCTACAATATTTGTTTGCCAGCTCTGTGACCTTGGGCAGGTTTCTTCATCTCTCTGAGCTTTAGTTACTTCATTTGTAAACACTAGGTAGTTGGTTTTCACCATGAAGTAAGACATGTGAAGGGCGCACAGTAGGGGCTCAACTAAGGGCCTACTGTGATTACTAAAATTTAGTCGAATACAGGCCAAGCAGGAAATAGACCTGCAGGAAGGCATTCAGATTGGCATGAGGAAGGGAAGAAAATTAAGTTTGAGTAGGATACGTTGAAGAGAAGGAGGCAGTGGTGTCAGAAATATTTCTAGAAATGGAGCCAGATGCTTCCTGTGTATTTCATGACTTGAAAATAGTTTTCAGAAATTGCTAGGTCCACAAAAATGCTAATCGAACACAGTATTTGCATTGGCCCTGTCTGCATTCATCAATGCCAACACCATCCCTTCCTAGATGGTCCCTACCTCCTTTGACTGTTCCTTGATCTATTGATCAACAAATGCAAGCAATTGTCTATTGCAAGCAGTTTCTTCCTGACAGAAGCTCATGAAAACAACACTGAAGGAAATAAAGAGCTTGTGCATAGGATATCACTGATTCTAATAGCTTTCCAGAGGCTTTCTATGATCCCAGATTCTATTAGACCCTGATTATCTAATTAAATCTGTGTTCTAATTTCTTTCTCTCTCTTTTTGACTTAAGGTTGTTTTCCCTTTCCTTTCTGGATAGTTGGATAGCTGCATGTTTTCATTTTGCTGCGTTTTTTTTTTTTTTTTTGAGATAGGTTCTTGCTGTGTTGCCCAGGCTGTAGTGAATATGGCTCACTGCAGCCTTGACCTCCTGAGCTCAAGAGATCCTACTGCCTCAGCCTCCCAAGTAGCTGGGACCACAGGGGCAGATTACTACCAGCTAATTTTTTTTTTTTTTTTTAAAGATCAGGGTTTTGGTGTGTTGTCCAGGCTGGCCTTTAAATCCTGGGGTCAAGCAATCCTCCTGTGTTGGCCTCCCAAAGTGCTGGGATTATATGCATATTTTCTCTTTTTTTTTTTTTTTTTTTGAGACGGAGTTTCGCTCTTATTACCCAGGCTGGAGTGCAATGGCGCGATTTCAGCTCACTGCAACCTCTGCCTCCTGGGTTCAGACAATTCTCCTGCCTCAGCCTCCTGAGTAGCTGGGATTACAGGCACGCACTGCCATGCTCAGCTAATTTTTTGCATTGTTTTTTAGTAGAGACAGGGTTTCACCATGTTGACCAGGATGGTCTTGAACTCCTGACCTCAGGTGATCCACCTGCCTTGGCCTCCCAAAGTGCTGGGATTACAGGCTTGAGCCACCACGCCCAGCCTGCATATTTTCTTTTAGCCTCTACTTTTGAGCAAGTTACTATTTTAACTCTTGATATAAACATCTTCAACTAACATCAATTAAATTATCCTTATAATGTGTCATGCACCTTGCAAGTTATGGAGTTCACTGAAGTGGTGACATCTCTCTTTTCTGGATCTCCCTAAATATCAAAGCAAAGCTTGAATCTTCACAAGGAGCAATAGAGGTTCAAATGTATGGTTTCACCTCCCCTTCTGAGGGAAGGCACTAGGCTTTATCAATTCATCTGTACTGTTTAAGCCACCTGTCTATTGGGTATAGCAAGGTCCCCAAATTGGTTGATCTAATGATGTGAGAAGTAATGAAAACAAAGAAGGGTAAAAGCATATAATAGCTGTTCACATTCAGAGCTGTGGCGCTGACATCGATCTCCTGTCCTAAATGGTTTCCTGTGATAGAGAGAAGGTTGAGATTTAAGAAGTTGGCTTCTCGGTAGGTTACTCTCTCTCTTCTAATATAGGCCTGCCTTTAACACAGGTTTCAAATATTTGAGAATCAAAATGGTGCCTTTTTTTTTTAATTTTTTGCCACTTCTGATCTTTCTGATAGAGAACAATTTCTCTGTGAAGTTCTGTTGTGTCAGGTTTTTAAGTGAATATGCCTAAGAATCATCTGGGAATCTTGATAAAATGCAGATGCCAGTGCGGTAGGTGTGGGGAGGAGCCTGAGAGCCTGCATTTGTAATGAGATCTCAGGTGCCATTGTGCTGCTGACCTGGGTCCCACACGTTCAGCAGGAAGGACTTCCATCCATGTTCCTTAAACCTTGTTACTTAAAGTGTGATCTGTGGCAGGTAGCATCCACATTACCTGGGGACTTGTGAGAAACCCCAGGTAGAGTGTAGACTCACTGAGACCTACTGAAATGGAATCTGCATTTAACAAGATATTCTTTTCTCCCTATGATTCTCAGGCATTGTGAAGTTCAGAAAGCTTTTTTTTTTTTTTTTTTTTTTTTTTTTTTTTTTTTTGAGATGGAGTCTCACTCAGTAGCCTAGGCTAGAATGCAGATCTCAGCTCACTGCAACGTCCACCTCCTGGTTCAGTTCAAGGAATTCTCCTGCCTCAGCCTCCTCAGTAGCTGGAATTATAGGCACATGCCACCATGCCCAGCTAATTTTTGTATTTTTAATAGGGACGGGGTTTCACCATGTTGGCCAGGCTGGTCTTGAACTCCTGACCTTGTGATCCACCCACCTCGGCCTCCTAAAGTGCTGGGATTACAGGCATGAGCCACCGTGCCCAGTCGGCTTTGTCTTTAAGTAAAACCCAAAGATGACCACCTGCATCAGAATCACTCGTGCTGGGCTTCAGGCAGCCAGCTAAAGTTTAACAAAATCTCCAGGTGATTGTTATAACCTAAATCTAGGCGGATGCACGGTGTTTTCTTTGCAGTGACCCAGGAATACAGGTGCTTCTATTTTCTATCCTATTTTAAACTCACCCAGCCAAAGACAATTAGCTGGAGGCTTTAATGCAGGTAAGCACGAATTTTTGTTGTTTTTCTGTGGTGAGAAAAGGATCTAGGGAAGCTTGCTAGTGTGTGCAGAAGACAGACTGCAGGAAGACTCCTACGGAAAAGACGGGGGAAACCTTTGCATGGAAACACAGGTAAGTCACTCACACAAAGTGGCTGTGTTGTGAAGAAAGAAAATCCTTAGTGACATTCCTCATTTTGTCAGCCTTTGTTCTGAAATAAAGATTCAGGTATATTTTGCTTTTCTTTGTAATTGAAGTGCTCCTCCTCCAGGGATTGCAATACCTTTATCTTAGTGCACTTGGCATTTGGCTTCGGAAGACATTG